TAAATTCAGGAAAAATGTCAGTTGTATAATGATGGATGTTGTATTAAGCTGTGAATTGTGTCATACTCCTGTTATGTTAGCTGAACTCAGATCACAGCCACTCTCCTCCAGTGATTTCACAATGTGATCTCTTTTCTTTGATGGACTGAAGCAAGATAAGCTGAAAAAGATATGGCAATGGTAAACAACGTTTAAACAAAGAGAATTATTTTATTTGATTAGAAATATTTTCATTAAAAATACCTAAAACTAGCAAACATACTTAAAATTATGGCTAATTATGAAATGTAATTATTACTATTTTTAAGGCTGATTTTGAGAATGAGTGTTTGAGTAATGTTGTTTGGGCGAGCACTGCTCTCTCAGTATCTCTCTCTTTCTTTCTCAGGATCTGTACCTTTCTTCTCTCTTTTCTCTCTCTCTCTCAGTTTTTTTGTCTATCTCTCATCTCTTTTTCTATTAGTATCTGTATCTCTTCTCTCTTTCTCAGAATCTTTCTCTATCTCTGTTTTCTCTCTCAGTGTCTTTGTCTATCTCTTTTCTCTCTGTCTCCCTCAGTATTTTTATCTCTTCTATCTTTCTTTCTTATTTCTTTCCTCCATTCACTCTCTGTGTTCTCTATATGTTTCTTTTACATCCCAGTATTGTTCTCCTCTGATTTCTGTTTCTATCTCTCCTTTTACTCGTTCAGTATCCTTATCTTTTGTACTTCTCTCTCAGTAAATATCCTTCTGTCTGCATCTTTCTGTCTCTCTCATTGAGTATCTTTCTAAGTCTCTCGTTTCTCTCTGTCAGTCTCTCTTTCCTCTTCTTCTCTTTTCTCAAAGTATTCTCTGTCAGTTTCTTTCTCTCTGTCTCTCTCTCTTTCAGCATCTCTCTCAACATCTGTCTTTTAGTTTCTCTCTCTGTCCACCTCCCCCCCCCCTCTTCTTTATTTTGCCTCTGTCACTTTGTCAAACTCAAATGATGATGTCCAATCAATGGTTCTTTGCAAGAGGAAAACATATATGACCACTACATGCACCCCCACCCCCAACAACTCCCCACTCCCCCACCCCCCACTCATCTTCTCCTCCATCTCTACAGTCTCGTGATACGTTAAAATCAATGGGGCCTTCCCAAAGGAAAGCATATATGGCCAATTTCCTCTTCCCCTGTTCCCCCCCTCTCCATCCTACTATCGTTTTCTTCTCCCTCCGTCTCTCAGTCAAACTCCAGTAGCGGCAGCTAATCATGTCCCTGCTGTGCTGAGGCAGTGGAGGCACGAGCACACAACCAGTCCTGTAGGGTGGGGCCGCTGCCAGCCTGCAGCTTTGGCAGGAACGAAGCCATTCCTTAGCTTTCTTTTCCTTAGCTTTCTGACTCACCTCCGTACTGCACTGAAGAGGACACACACACACTGTCACCACGGAAAGAGAATGAATGAGAAATTCTATATAACGAAGGAGAAACACACACACTTGAAACGTGTCAGAATTGAAGAAATGGCCTGAACAATGTTTTAATTCATACACTCTGTATAATGTTCCATATAACGCTATCAAGGTACAACAAGAAACACATGCACGCATATATGGACACAGCACTGGGCAGAAGTCAGAGACCACCCTTCATTTTCATTTTCAGTCAAGTCGACCATTAAGTACAAGTTATTTAATTTGCAGCAAATATTTCTGAGGAGAAAAAAAGAAAAAAATCTGAAGTTCAAAATACTGTTAAAAGATACAGAGAATCTAACAACCATACAAGACCTGCTAGACCACCAATGCTGTCCCCATCAGCTAAACAATACTTAAAGCTTATATCTTTGAGAGAGAGGAGAAAAACTGCTCCAGATCTGAAAAAACCCACAGGTTTCTCTGTCCATCCTTCCACTGTGAGAAGACACCTCAACACTGTGAGTCTGAAAGGTGTGTAGCTGTCAAGAAGCTGCACATCCTTACTGAGTTACTGAGTAGAGGAAACAGACAAAAATTGCAAATCAGTCAGAGAAGCTGCCGGTGTCCTCAGAACAATGGACTGACCACCTCAGAGTCCAGACCTCAACACCATTGAACGTGTTTGGGATTACTTGAATTGTGAAAAGCAGAAAATGCAACCAATTTCTAAGACTGAACTTTAGAAGTGTAGAAAAATATCCCTGCAGATTTCTTTAAAAGTAATGAAAGCAAGTCTCCCAAAAAGAATGGAAGCTGTAATAAAAGTAAATACTGAAAATTCACTAAATACTGAAAAATGATATTATATTTAGTTGTTGAGGCTTCTGTGTAATTTTCTGTTGAATATTTTTTCTGCTTTTTTTTCCTGATGCTGAGAAATGAACAACCTGCAGTTAATGGGCATTTCGACAGGAAATTAAAGTGGTCTCTGACTTTTGCACAGTACTGTACACACATACAGACATGTGCATGTTAGAATTCAAAGCAAAAATAGTGCAATAATTCCATCCATATACAATGCTGAAGAAAAAACTCAAAAATGCTACTTAGATAGGCTGAGAAACACACACACACACACACACACACATTCTCCCACACACATTGTGTGTCTGCAGTGAGGGTGGCAGTCAGGCGTGCAGATGCAGTTGCTTTGTTGGGGGCAGGGAGCACAACCATCTTCACTCCACAGCTATTTACTAAAGGCAACATTAACACAATCATACACAAACACATATCAACACCCACGACAGCCAACTACAGCACACATTAGTATACGCACACATACACACACACACACGTATGAACATACACATGCACTGACAAGCATAATTGCACACAGAGTCTGTGAGTACACACACACCAGATCAACAGAATGCTTTGTTTTCTTTTCCCATGCAGGCGTGAGAGGACAAAAGACAGGAATATGCATCCATAATAGCATAGCCTGCATATGCACCAAAACAGCAGGTCATCCTCCCACGTCTACCTGTCAATCAAAGCCTCTATCAATATGAGACCCGATGGACATTGCTTTTTGCACCTTAGGGATTTATGTCAATCAAAGCGAATACAAAACACGCCAACCTCTCAAATCAAATCATTGTTACCTTTACCGCCCTGGGTACTCAAATGACCACAGTGGTCCTGTTTTTATATCATTGGAGAAATCAGCTGTGAGCGGTATACTCCCAATTATATGAACTGCGAAATGCAAACCGCTTTGCTCCGATCTGCTGAGTTCAAATTGTATTTGCTTTCCATTTGAAGAAGATACAATTTGCAGTGCTGGTGGTTGTATTTTTCTCTGCGAACACCACTTTCTTATTGATTTAGTGACTGCTCCAGACGTTTGATGGGTGATGGAGACTGCAAGTAGCATTGTCCACAAACCAAAAGGGCCTATACCATGTAATTTTCCCTCACTTTTTTTTAATATAATTTAAAGTATTAGTATGTAAACAAGTTTTAAAACATTATCCCCAGTCCATACAGTTCATATATGGAAACTATTTTTAAAAACAGCTTGTTTTAAATTCATTGTTTTTGTGATGTCAATAAAATTAGTGAAATAACATGTTGTCGCTGTCGGACAAAAACCTTATATCTCCAAAATAGTAGCTGTACAGGAGAAATGTTTTTGAATTTTTAATATAAGTTAATCTAAAAAGATTTTATTCCAGGTTACCATTTTTAATATAATTATTTTGGATCATTGTTGTTGGACCATTCGTTATGAAATTTTCACACAATGTAAAGGACTGCTGAAGTTCTTAAATTATGTTAAAAGATGAAAAATGGAGACAAAAATGGAGATATAAGATTTTGTTCCAACATATAAGGATACAGTTGCCTATTCAGCCAAAAACACATTAGCTCCGCCCATTCATGGTGAAGCTCTAAGGAGAGTTCCAGCCTGTAGTGCTCTTTGAATGAGGCACAATACAAGGATAAAGAGAGGTTGGAAAATAGTCAATAAATCCACACAAATTTCATGAAAGGAGCTCAGGGGCAAAAAAACCAATAGAAGAAAAACATAAGATACATAAAAACAAAGCATGAGTATAGAAGACATGAAAACAAGGCATAGGCGAAGCATATAGTATGTCTAGTTATTCGTATGCATTTATCTGGCAGATTCTGAGATCAGTTATCATTCCGACTTGAAATATTTCCAACAAGATGATGAAATCCATAGAGTCAAACTCAAGTGCAGTTCCAGTAGACACTGAAGTGCAATTAACCTGAACCTATATGAGCATGCAATTACTCTGTCAGTGTCAATGCCACACAGGCCCATTGTGTGATAAAAACTATTGTGCATATGGAAGCGTGAGGCATTTTGAGCATGCAACAAGACAAAAAGCCTTGTCATTGCTGGCGTGGCTCCCCAGCGGACATTCTTCCTCATTTAAGTGCAACTAAATCTCTTTATTGTTCTTTGGCTGAAATGAAGTTAGGGGTTTACAGTAAATTGCTGCAATATAAGCATATCAGCACAGTGCATAGGGAAGGCTGGCGCTAATGGGATACAATTGTTCTCTTTGCTCCCTTTTTAATGTCTGCAAATGTGTGTGACTGTACTGCCACGCTCGCCAAATCCGCCAGCCCACACACACGCGCACACACACACATACACGCTGCCTCAGCCGCTTACACACCCAGCGTGCAGATAGCTTGCGTCGCATGTACAGTAAGATGATGGCGGTGTGCTCATTGTAGCGTGCCCCAATGACTAATACTAATCCTTACATCTTAGGCAAATAATGTTGGCTGAATCAATCTCCAGTGCGAAGGCATCCCCCTCTCTTCTCCTTCTTCTTTTTTTTCTTCCTCTCCTTCCTTGAATTTTAATGAAGGCGAAGTGGGAGCTCCAATCAGGACGCAGGAAGTGGAAGAGACCACTCGGGCCGCAGACGGAGGGATGCAGCGAAGGTATAGCCGGAGAGCGCTGCGCTTCCTATCGCTCTCCCCCTCCCCCCCCTCCTCCACTCTCTCCCCAGGGTGGTACGACCTGGCAGATTACAAAACACCCCTCCCATGTGCCTCGCCACTCTCTGTGCCAGGGTGAGGCTACCGATCTGATGCTCCTGAAGAGTGTGAGAGTCAGAGAGGAGACAGAGAGGCAGAGAGAGCAAGAAACAAAATAGAAAGAGGGGAAAAAAAGCTAGTGGAAGCACTAGGACACAATCAACGCCACTGTCTTCTGAGACGAAAACGCGTCAGGTCATCCGAGGGTAAGTGCCGGGAGCATGCACACGCACACTCTCTCCCACATAGACACTCATACTTGCACACATTCATTCCTTTCACATATCTATCTATGCATTTTTCCCAGGCCTGAGGAGCCTCAGGCCTTTGTCTGTTTTTTTTTTAGAAACTTTCAGCAGCACTCTGCATGCAAAAGCAAAAGTTGTTGCCTTTCCCAGTCATACCCATGATAATGCTCCTGAACAGTCCTCCTGCACACCCTGCTAAACGGTGTGTCACTTTATCATATAAACCTGTCAAGCACTGCACACGGCGACGAGCACCTTAACAACTGTCAGCGATGTAAAGCCTGGCCGTGGAGAAAAGAGTCCGCCTTTTCTTAAAGATACGAATGACAACCAGCCCTACAGGAATTTTTCCCAAAAAAAGCACCCTCGGGAAAGGAAAATGCAGGCCCTTTTGCTGCATGCAATCAATTTCATATAATGTTGGGCACGCTGTCCTGAAAATCCTTCCACAAACCCCGGAGACAAAGAGTCGCCTCTGAGCCGAGACAGCGCTGAGAGCCTGTGTGTCTGAGCCCCATTCACACCGTAAATGTGATCAATGCACAAACGGAGTCACACACACTTTCTCTCACACACACAGCACTCTTAGATTGAGACGTGACACTGATCAGAGTCATCCTGAGATTTCAGGGAGGTTTTTGGTAAGAGATTGATGGCTGTTCTTATGAAGCACAGGGCCCACAAACATGTACTATATGTCAGTTCAGCAGAGATGGCATTATACTAGAAAGCAGACTGGCAGCTGTAGACAAAGTGGTCCGTGATGTTTGCAGATGGAGGTTAACTCTCATACTCTCACACCCAAAGCTGAGTGAAAAGCCACTTCTGCTGGGAGTGGAGTGGCTCAGTCTGGATATTTGAGGTCGAGGTGTGTCTCGATTCCGCAATAAAGGCTGGATCCATCGTGCAACCCATCGTGGAAGGGAAGAGAATCTCATTGATTCTGGCTGCGACACACGGATGGGCTGAACGTGTGGCTGAAGTCCATCAGTCACATTTTGAATAATACCTGGGAGGTTAAATGACTTGTTAGATAGGAAACAATGTCAGTCTCTGGTTCAAGTACGGTGGTGCATGAAGACCAGGCGGTACTATCAATGCTAGGTGTGGTGGGTGTGGTAGGTCTGATGTCCAGTCAGGTGTTCGCTCTTGAGGGTGACTCCAGACTAGTGGTTTGTTCTGCACATCTGCTCTTTGACTGCAAGAGGCTGATTCACTCTCACAGACATCAGCAAATTAGGTTTTTTCTCCCATATGGGAACAATGACGGTTTGAACCCTTTGATCTTCTATCATCCTGTGTGATCATGTTTTTGTTCAGCGTGCACACATGGATTTCGACAGGTGTATGCATGTGTCTGCGTGTGTTTGCTCATGCAAATGTGTGTCCAAAAGTGTGCATGAAGGGCTCAATTGCAAGGTAAACCGATAAGGGGCTGCTCACATCACTATTTAATAGGAGAAATCTGCTCTTCCATTCAAATCAATCAAGCAAGCCCATCTTTATTCATATAGCATTTTTCATACAAGCAATTATAAGTCAAACTGCTTTACAGACACACATCCAAGTTAAAGGCTCATAAATTGTATAAAATAGTCATAGTAATACATAAATAAATAAATGAGTAAGTGGCCATTTGAGAATGGTGGTATATAAATGGAAAAAATAAATAAACAAATAAATATGATCAGTTAAATCAGACATACTGAGAAAAATGACAGTACCCTATTGCAGTACCACATCTACTGTGCCATACTATTTTGTGCTACACTAGTACGCTACACCACCATGCGACAACATGACTATGCTACACTACATTACTACATGCCTACTCTACACCACATCACATGAGGTTACAACACCACTACACGTTCACACTACAGCACACAGCTTTATCACCACCCAAATCCATATGGATACGTTTAGAAGACCAAATATTCCTCATACTCAAAATGCGATCATGTGCTGGACCACATTTCTATTGTATAGAGTATTTATTTATTTATTTATTTATTCATGGTGTGGCGTGACAGCCCTTCCAAATGCCTGTTTTCTGAAAAAAAATGTTTGATGCTTCTAGATGTACTTCAGATAAGTAACACCGGCACTATAACAAGGGTGCAGAACATATACTTTATATGTACGCGTTCATCACGGCTCATTTAAACGCCTCATTTAAATTATTATTCACTGCATGATATTTAGAGAGCTGGTACATATACAAGGGGCCAATTACAGATGACTCACTGACAGCATTTGAGACTCATTCAGTGGCATTTTAGGAGCTTTCAGAGCATAAATTATGATATATGTATGTATTTTTTATATCTCTGATCAGCCATATATACATACAGTAAGGACCTCATCACAACCTTTCGGTCTGTGTGTGGCTCCATTTGCTCTCAGTGGCTCTGGGTGTGGTGCTGTATGCTATACCAAATGCTGAGCTGAACAGCAAGGATTTAACCTCGCATTCGCCCTGAAGTGCAGTAGACATAAAGCTCCATTTGACTGGCCAGAACCAGTCAGCATTGATGACACATCAGTTGTTTTACAAACATAGCGATATTTATTTGGTTCCAAAGTGCTGCCTAAGTTTTTCCCGGGCACAGACTGATTTGCACATGTATACAATATTGACTAATGAAATCAGAAACGAGTGCTCCTAAACAGGCTACTAATCTGTACCAATGAAGGACATTAAGTATTGTTAAAAGATTAAAAAAGGGGCAGTCCCTGTTAGGACAAAGCCTATAAAATGCGTAATTCTGTTTATAGAATAATGGTAAATTAGACCTCATTAGGTCATTTGGCATTTAGATTTTCTAAAAGGACATGAAAATTCATGGAGAAATCAGAATGCCTCAGTACTAGTTCCACTCCGACCGTATGGAATATTCTAAATAATGAACAGCACACAGCCCTCCTCCCCTTTGCTCTGATCACAAAATGGCTGTGGCGGAGGTGCTGTCCACCGCCGGCGTGATTGACAGGGAGCACCACAGAGTGGGTGGATGTGGTCTGTACATTGAGGTGCCGTTGAAGTATGTAGGCAGGATCGGCGGCGGCATATGAGCGTGCTACTTCCCCTTTGTTCTCCAGGCCAGCTCCAATAACAAAGGCAGTTTGGGCAAATTAATTAGATTTTATAATGGGAGCCATTCAGTGTATTTGTATTGTCTTTGTGCACATCAGCTGGTTTAAATGTGGGAAAAACATGTGGTGTAAATGTAAAATGCACAACACTATGTGTGCAGTATGCGTGCATGCACGCACGCGTGCAAGAGTGCATGCGTGTCTTGCATCACATACGTATAGAATAGAGTTCGGTGTATGATTCATTCAGATATTGATTTCTTGATTTTTATTCAAGCGGACTGTAATGTGTTAGGCATTAATACAACTTGAGATCATAGGTATTTTGAACATGACTAAGTCTATATAGTTAAATTTAATACTGCCACAGTACATGTATTTATTTATAAATGTAATAAAAATAACATGAAACTCAAATATGCCTCAAACAAATGTGTAGAATATAGTCTGCAATTCTGCATCATACCCATTCATAAAAACTAAATGCATTTCCATTAGAGCATGCTCAAAATGAGCCATGAATAAAACACATCCAAAATTTCAGTGACAGGCTGACACTAGCTCTTTTTTCTTATGCAACAACATATTAGCATATTTTTTGCACTGACATAACAATATTGTACATATCAGACAAAAACTTCAACAGAAAACGCAGAACAGCAATGCTGATTAGCCTATTAGAGAGATAAGACCACTTGCAACCCCCTCCATCTATCTCTCCTTCACTATCTCCCTCTCTCTTTTCTATTCTGCCTTTTCCTCTCTTATTAGCTGCTGGCTTCCATATCTAAGCCCTGCCCCACTCTCTTCCTATCTCTCCGGTGTGTAAGAACTAGATTACATACTTATAGTGTACCACAGAATGTGCTGCAAGGACAAGGACAGCACAGGATTGTACAAACTCATTTTCTATATACTCATCTCTCAGCACACAGCTTCACATCTGCAGTTACGTCAAAACACATCTTTGCTATTTGGATAAATGTCAGTTTGTTGCTGTACAAAATAAAAAAAAATCTACTTTTTTGTTTGGTTTTTATTTTTCTTTATCATTTGAGAACAGCAGCTGTTAAATTAAGGTAAAAATCACGATGAATAGACCAAAAGAAATGGTCCAAAATAAGTGTGAATAAAATCATTTAATATTAACTTACCTTAAAAATGAAGAAGGTTTTTGCCCTCTCCTGTAAAGTTACTGTTTTGGAGAAACCTGTATTTGTTGGACAGATTTGAAATATAGTCAGGTACACAGGCAAGAATGGCTAAGGTGAAGTAAGACATCTTAGCTGCCAGCCAAGGCATGATTCCTATGTGAAAGGGTTTGAGAAGGAATTTCAGCAATAAAATACAAATAAAGAAAAAGCATAATCACCAAGCAGAAAAAGAATTCTATACGGTTTCCTTCTGATCTACTCTGCCATGTTAAAACAGCAAACTACTGTTCCATATAATGGCACCATTAAGAATTATTAATAATGCACATGCTCAGTGCATGTGTGTGTTCGGACCTGTGTTGCCCCCCCGAGGGTCTCGTAAAACAGATGTGTTCTATATCCACTTCTGTTTCAGGGTGGTGGCTTGTAGGGTTTCCCTACATTGCTTTCCTGTTTGGAGCAGCCCTCTGGCCATTTACCCACACAAATACATACACACGCTTAGGCACGCGCACACGTCATGTGACTGCACTGGATTCTCATCGGGATTCTTTGTGTGAAGACTTGCACGCTGTCATCTACACATTTCAGTGTGTGTGTGTGTTTGTGTGTGTATGTGTGCACTCTGTTGCTCCTGCATATCTCCACACGTACTGGTTGAGCTTTGTGTGGGAGGAGTTAGTGGAGAACAATGATGGGCTCTCTTGT